GCCCACCTGGCCATCCACCTGGTCAGCCCCATGGGCACCCGCTCCACTCTGCTGGCCGCCAGGTGCTTGCCCCGTCCCCTCCCCTGCACGGCCCATCCTCCCCTCAGGCCCGCACGCATTCATTCATTCACTCGCTCACTCATTCACTCACCTAGTCCTGATGGCCGCCGAATGCTCCCCCTGCTGGCATTTTGGCAGGGATGGTTTCGCCCTGTGGGACTGTCCATATTGCAGGAATCCCCGATTCCACCCACCACATGCACGTCTGCGTGCCTGCCCTCGCACATTTCCAGAAGCTTCTGGTTAAGACTATCTGGCCTAACGGGAGTCAGAGCCAGCAGGCGTTTCCAGCCCTGCGGCGGGGTTGGTGTTGCAGGGGGAGGGTGTGTGGTGGGTTTGGGGCTCCCGGCTGGGGTCCCCCCGGGCTTGAGACGCCTGTGTGCACCCTGCTCCCCCAGGCCACATGACTACTCGGCGGATGGGTTTAATGACTGGGCCTTCATGACAACCCATTCCTGGGATGAGAACCCCTCTGGCGAGTGGGTCCTGGAGATTGAAAACACCAGCGAAGCTAACAACTATGGTATGGGGGACACTCGAGGGTAGGGGGGGCCAGGGTCCCCGTGGGGTCCCAGGGCCGCTCACTCTGGCCTCCTCCCCCACCTGGAATAGGTACGCTGACCAAGTTCACCCTCGTGCTGTATGGCACGGCGCCCGAGGGGCTGCCCACGCCGCCCGAGAGCAGCGGCTGCAAGATGCTTACGTCCAGCCAGGCCTGTGTGGGTCAGTAGTGGGTGCTGTTGGGTTTGGGGTCTGACACTCGGGGACACGGGGTGCTTGTCCCAAGCCATGCTGTGGGAGGAAGGGGGTCTGAAGGGATGCTGAATCCCTTGGGGTGACACCGTGCTGGGGCCGGGAGCTCCCGGGGACTGTGGGGACCGCGCTGGCCCTGGGCTCACCCCGCCCCCTCTCCCCCCGGCAGTGTGCGAGGAAGGCTTCTCCCTGCACGAGAAGAGCTGCGTCCAGCACTGCCCCGCGGGCTTCGCCCCGCAAGTCCTCAGCACGCACTACAGCACCGAGAACGACGTG